CAGATGGAAGAGGGAACCTCAGGTGGCATGGGGATTAAACGAGGTTTCACACGAGGCCTGACACACAGGTCGATGGCTCGGTGAGGCTGACCGCCACAGCTCATGGTTCTCTTAGGCTCTGCTGTCAAGCCCGTTCTTTCTCATCGTTGAGTATTCTATCCTCGATTCTTAAATTTTGATAAATGCCATGACTTAGTCTTTGGCACCATGGTCTCCCGCTCTCTCCTTCCTCTCCCTTAATGAAAGCAATAATTAGCATTTACTGTGAAATTACTACACGTTGTGCTCTGTGCCTTCCAGGATGTTCCAGTGTCTCCCCAAAATCAATTTCCACAAAACAGCATTGAGCCTTTCACTTTTCTGAGCTCACCTCCCTCCCCCATTCCTCTGCCACCGTCCATCTAGCTACCCAAGGTCAAACCCAAAGTGCTGTCTTTGATCACTCCTTCTCTTTCCCCACCGTAGTCAACCTGAAAACACATTCTCATGTATTGTTGATCCATCCTGACATCTCTTATTGGGTTATTAAGATTGTGACTCAGTATACTTGGGTTTGGTACAGTAAAAGACCCAATTCTTAGGGCTACACAGTTATGACTGGAACATGGGTGGTCCGGCCCTCGCCCCAGGATGCCAAGATGCCATGAGCTCTTTAAATGAGATCCTGTGGCCTACAGACTCCCAGGCCCAAGATTATCTTAAAAGTATGAACGAAGTACATGAGATCAGAAAACTCTGACAAGTCAGGGGGAAAGAGAAAGAGACTCCCATTTCCTAACAGCCTGCTACAAATCAGGAATTGTGCTAAGTGCTGTTGCTTCCAAGATGGACTGACGATATAATTTTTTAAATATAAAAATGTGATGTCATAATGCTGCTTCCTTATTGGCACTTCATAGGACAGTTCTTTATGGAGGTAGTCTCCCTGGATCATTCTGTCACTGACCTCCCAAAGGTTGATCACCTTCCAGGGGTTCTCAACCTTCCTAAGGCGTTACCCTTTAATACAGCTCCTCAAGGTGTATGTGGGCGGACCCGCCTGGAGACAGCTAATGGAGCGGTGTCTCAGCTCCTAAGACCATGGGAAATATGTTTTCCGATGGTCTTAGACGACCCCTGTGAAAGGGTCATTCGACCCCTAGAGGGGTCGCGACCCACAGGTTGAGAACCACTGCCTCAGACAAATGGAAGTCTCGTATTCTTACGCAGGAATCATCACTCCGTGACTGGATTTTCTTATTCATTGATTTAATCATTCATTCCACAAATGTTTATTGAGTCCCTGCTCTGTACCAAGCCTGTGATGAATGCTGGAGGTGCCGCTGTGAATACCATTCCCTCAAAACATGGAAAAGCCAGCTGCGAAGTGAATGCTGCGAAGGAGGGGCAGCGTGGGCGCCACGGAAGGAGGCCCTTCTGAGATTGGCAGGGTTGTCTTCTCGCTCGCCTCCCAGGCGCAGCTCCTCCGCCCACCCCCTGCCCCCGTCCTCGTCCTTTCACACCCGCATTTCCACAATAAGCTCCTTGCCTCCGGTCCCACCACCTCCAGTCCATCCTCCACACAGTGGTCACAGCCTTCTTTCTCTAATGAAAACTGGATCATCTCAAACTTTCCCAACTTCGAACTCTCTCCTAGCCTTTTGGATAAATCTGAACCTCTTTGGCGTGGGATATTTCCATCCTACTTGATCACTCTCTCTGGCCTGATGGTTTGTATGCCATGGGGCTACCAATCCACATCTCTCACTGTGGCCACACAGAACTACTTCCGACTCCCATGGAGTGATTTCTGCCTGGAAAACCCTTCTCCACTCCTTGTCCTTCAAGACTCAGCTCTCCTTAACCTCCCTAAGAAACCTTCTTGATTTTCTTTCCCGCCTGTAGATGGACACCCTCCCTTTGTGCTTACATAGCATCCTGGGCATATCTGTATCCAAACACTTACTCCATTACTTGTTCCTTAGTGTCACCCAGTTGCTGTTCATCTCTGTATCCACCTTCCAGTGCCATGTGCTCCAGCCACAAAGAATGGCTTATAGTTACCCTAATTCATCAAGCATGCTCACAAATTTCCTCTACCAGGAATGCCCTTTCTATCCTTCCCTACACGGTAAAAGACTATCCATTTTTTGAAAATATCTCAAAGATCACCTGTTCAAATCCCCCAGGGGAAGAAAATAAAATCACTTACATGTCTGTCCTATTGGCACTTGATTTGCCCTACAATTATAACAATTACTCAGATTGCATCACAGTTAGCTAAATACTGTATTATGTTTCCTCCTTCTTGAAAGCTGGAGCCATTTGTACTTCCTTTTGTTTTGTTTTATTTTTTCTCTCCAGCCTTCAGCACATAGTAAGTGCTGAGGTATGTTGCCTAAATGTGAGAAAATCCAGGAGCAAGGATGAAGTGACTAGCATACATGTTAAGAACTTACAGTAAAGTGCAGAGCTATCCTACTCTTTAATTATTTTATGTATGTTAATCTTGAATTTACAACTAGATCATTAAACACTTTGAGGTCCAGAACTATGTTAGACATTTTATATGAACTCCAATACTAAGAATGGGATAGGCGGTCAGGTGGTCAATGAATACTTGTAAATACAATCTTAATATAATCAAATGAACTGAACTTGCAGATGTAGGGAAAGGATAGGTCATGAAGAGAGAGAACACAGCTCTAGCAAAAAGCAAAAAATAATCTTAATCTTTTCTTGCAGAGTTTGGCAAAGATAATGATGACAACATTCACCAAGAAATTAAAAGGCCATATCCTGACCATTATATTTAAACCCCTTCTATGCCAATTTCAACTTGAAAATATTTCTGGAAAGGTCTTTATTTCACTAGTTGTTTAAAAAAGGGAAAAAACTTTCAGGTTTCTATTTTACTGAATGCTTTTTAAATATCATAAAAGCAAAGCTGTTTTACTAATATGGATCACTTTCCCAATGTCCTTCTCTCCCTCTTTTTTTTCGTTCTCAAAAACTTCTTCACCTTTCACTATGTTGACTTATGAATCAAGATCGCTTTCATATGTGAACTTTCTTTTTTTTTTTTATCCTCACCCGAGGACATTTTTCCATTTTTTGTTCAGGTAGAGTTGGGGGGAGAGAGAGGAACAGAGAGAGAGAGAGAAACATCGATGTGAAAGGGACACATTGAGTGGCTGCCACCCACACAACCGACCAGGGCCGGGGACAAACTGCAACCGAGGTACATGCCCTTAGCGGGAACCGAACCCGGGTCTCTCAGGACCGCAGGCCGACGCTCTAACTGCTGAGCCAAACCGGCCAGGGCTCATATGTGAACTTTCTCAATTAACTTCACACATATCACATTTTCTCCCACTTCAAAAAGTTACAAAATGTTAAAAAATTAAAATTAAAAAAGGTCCCTAGAACAGCAGAGAGGTGGCCTCCACCTATCATCTTAAAGTGAAGAAAATACTCTCTTACGACCCATAGTCACAAGTACTGGATCTGAGCTTCTAGCGTTTTCTTCTGCCAGCCTCAGCTTGGCTTCCAGGTTCCCCACACACTTACAAATCCAAAGCTCCTGAGGTATAGAAGAGACAAAAATATACCTGTCTGCCTATCCCACCTTCCAGGCGTAACCAAAACATCAAGATGAAAACTCTCACACATGGCACTTTCTAGACTTGAAGAAAGGATTTGTAACTGTGTTAAAGGTTAGCCCAAGATTAATCGTCTTTTATACTCCAGATGTGACATTCCCGAAATCTCCAAATTGGAGTCCCACTGATGAATAAAAGCCACCGACCACGGCAGAAGTAGAAGGAATATTTGAATTCCGTTAAGGCTGAAGAGTACCTAGCCTCACACTCGACCTCGTCCTGCCTCGATTGGCTTCTAATCACTTCTCTCCTGAATGGCCATCAACTGTCCCTCTTCCAGTCGCCTTTGTCCCAGCCCTGGACTCCTCACACGCTGACCCGTCTCTGCTGTTCCAAAGAACCATTAGATTTGAGGCAATTCTCAGGTGCACTCCGAGACCCCGCCCCTGTGGAGCTGTCATTTTAGGGAATCCTTTTCTCGGGACCTCTTCCCTGGGACCGAAGCATATCACAACGGTGCCGGTCCTCCAGCTAGAAACCAGGCTGAGGAGAATCCTTCCCGCGAAAGAGGCTAAAGGGGGAAACGATATCCCCACAAAGAAAAATAACCCAGAATCCTCCACATAGTCCACGTGTGTGTCATAAAACCCCAGGGCAAATATAAAGCCCAGCTTCCCCGGCTGCAGCCGCTGCCACAGCAGCCCCAGCCCAAGTGCTGCCGCCTTGCCTTGGTGTGCGTGAAGACAGCACCGTCCCTGGGGAGCAGAGATCCCGGCGCCCAGGGTTTCCAGGAGGTGATTATGGCGAGCCTTTCAGTAACTCATCATTCATGCCCGCACTGACCGGAGCCTCACCCCGCGCCTCTGAATGAGAACGCCAAAGGCTGCCCCTTCGATTCTCCAGGTGACACCCCCGCCCCCACCACGATACGCGAGAATGCGGGGGTTGGGAGAAGGGAAGGATGACCGGTGCCCACGCCTGAGGGAAAACCAACGGCCAGGCTTACAGCCAGGGGTGAGAATCCCAACCCCGCCCGGGCGGAGGACTTGGCATCTGCTACCTGCAGGGCGCCCCCGCCCGCACACCGGCTCCCGCGGCAGGCAGCCCGGAAAGCAGCCAGGAGGGTGGAACGGGACGGAGGGAGCCTCCACGCCCCCTTTGTCTCCACGTTTCCCAAATGACAGGGGAGGAAAGTTTACGAGCAGGGACGGAGTCGCTTTCTGCTGGGTCAATCTGACACCTTTCAGGAGGAGATCCTCCCTGGGATCTCCCTCGCGTCTCGCAGAGCCAGGCGCCGCCTCCATCTGCACCTTGAAACCCACAAGCCGGGTTTGGGCCACCTGCACCGCCACGTCCAGCCGGGGACCTGTCCCTGCCCCGAGTCCCAGAACGGCCCGTGGCTGCCGGCGCCTTACTCACCTCTGGTGGTGGAGCGTCCTCCGTGCGCCCTACTGGGCTGTCTGGCTCCCGGGAGCGAGGTGCATTCAGGCGGTGGCCGGAGACACGCTCCCGCTCCCGGGGCTCTGCTGCATTCCGCCTGCGTGGGAGAGCAAGCGGCGAGAGTGCGGCGCGGGCGTGAACGAATGTGTTTGTGTGAGTGAGTGTGTGTGTGTGTGTGCGCGCGCGCGCGAGCACGGGAGTGTATGGTGTGTGTATGTGTGTGCGCGCGCGCGAGCACGCGCGTGGGGCGGGGGTGCGAGGAATCAGAGATCCCCCTCTGCGTTCATCCCGCGCTCTGCCTCCGCCTCCGCCTCCGCCCCCTCCCCGCGCTGCCGCTTGCGCTGGGTCCAGGTTTCAGGATCTCCTGTTTGTTTAATGAAAGGAAGGAGCAAAAGGCTGGTGGGGAGGGGGCTGAGGGGGGACTGGAGAGGCGGTGAGGGCTCCAGACTGCGCATGCTCAGAAAGGGACACTGAGCGCTCACTTGGGAGCTCAGGCAGAGGGAGGAGCTCGAGCTTCGGGTCCAGGCGAGCATGACTGCACCCACCGAGCCACAGGGGCTCCTCAGGGTTCCTGGAAGGCAAATGGGAAACCCGACAGCAAAGGTGCGCCCTGCGCAGGGACTCCCTGGCGCCCGCGGTGTGGGAAGCTGGCAGCGGGTTCCCCGACCCATCCTAGGGGACCGCTTCAGTCGTGAGTCCTGGTAGCAACGGGCTCTCCTCTCCCTGCATTTTTAGTGCTGGCTCTGGGCTTGTGTACCTCTCCTGCCTCTGCGCTATGAGGGACTATGGTGCATTTCCCCAGAGGTCCAGGAGGAACCGCAGGCAGCAGGTCTCACCTGAACTAAAATGAGTGATCTGATCTGTACTTCGACTTCCAACTTCCACTCTGTGAAGCGCAGAAAAAGACAACTGTCCACTGGGGTCCCTAAACAGCTTTGCTGGGACGAGGGCGGGGAGGGTCACACAAAAATCCTCTTCCAGAGAACAAAGCAGGAGTGGAAGGAAGGTGAGTCTCAGAGGACTCCATACTCAGCCTCTTTTGGTGACAGGGTTAGAGGGACATTTGCCCTATTCAAGAAGGCCAAAAGAACAATAGAGCCATTGTTCCCCCTTGCCCTGAATGTCAAAGAAGCATTTCTTCATTAGTGAGGATTCTGGCTACTTGGTAAAGTGGAAGAACTGTCAACACGAAGAGAGTCCAGTAAGAGAACCTGAGCCCCGCTATGGCAATGGCGCAGTAACCTGAGGCCAGCAGAAACACTGGGTGAGGGCTTTGTGAGTGGAGTGGAGTGGAAACTTCTTTGGTGAGATTGTTCTAGGAGCAAAACAGGCCAGTGGTTCGGAGCCATTCAAGAGCTTCCATTTTCAACCTTCTCCCTGTTTAATCACCATGTCTTTCCCCGCATTGTCTCTTCTGCAGAAGACATCCCAAGCAGGGAACTCCCTGTAAATATATGCCTATTTCCTGTTTATTCATTTTCGGTCCCTCTAGAAAAGGACTACCTTTTGGCCACCCAGCTTTGGAGGGATAGAAGACAGCCTACTCTGTGCAAATCTTTCCCAAGCTTTCTTTCAAGATCACCTCTGAGCACTTCTATGCAAGGCAAGTGAGCAGATGCCTACTTGCTGAACTCTGACCCCAGTCCCATTCATCTTCCCAATAATGCCCAGTGACACTAGAACAGCAGGCCAATTAGATCAGACTGGAGAGAAAACAGCGTATCTAAATACCACCAACAAAAGCAAAGTTTAGGAGACAAGACATAGAGGAAGAAAAGAAGAATAAAGGGGGGGGGGGGATAGTAAAAGTGCCCTGAGTGTTAGTGCCTGGTTCCTTCTCTTAGTAGCTTGTTGAAAGGAATAGAATTGCAGCATCTCTTTGTTTAAAGGACAGTGAGCCCGAGTCTTTATGCACCAGGTAAGGGAGATCAGGTTCTCCTGAAAAGCAGCAAAGTCTCTATAGTGGACCACTAACAATATTTGGGGCTCCTAGTTCCCTGCCCATTTTTCTCAGGCCTTCCTCTTGGCACCAGGCCTCTTGGAAGGCCTCCAAGACAGATCTGCCTTGTTACCACATTATCCTCAGAACAGTGACTAGTGTTCCCTGGGATTTCAGGGTGTTAGGATTGGCAGGGCCTTGAGGCAAGAAAGCCATTCTCCTGCCCTGGCGCTGTATAATCAGGGCATGAGTGAGGGCCCCGAGTCCAAGAAGTGAGTGGGAGCTGAAAGGGGAGGAGGAGCTGGGGTAGCTATAGGTCTCAACTTTGTAGTTCTGCCAGAGAGAACACTGGGGCTCTTCCTCCTACTATGTGGCTGCCTGGCCAACAAGTACACTCTCCTTTGGGCTTGGCCTTGGGTAAGGAAAAAAGGGACATCCTGTTCATCATCCGAAAGCTCTAACAAGGTCAGGGGTGAAGGAGACTTTATAAATCTGGAATTGCAAATAAAGTGGAATCCCTTTATGGTGCTGCAATGAGAGGGTGAACTAGCAGTGCTGGAAGAGATTTTTACTGTTTGGGGAGCTTGGGGGAAGCACAGGGGACATTAACTGAGATGATGTACATAAAACACAGTGCCTGGCGCATAGCAAGTTCTCCGAAACATGTAGCTGTTATTATTTTGGTTATTAACATTTTCATTATTATAATATATTTTTTTTAAAGGCTGAGGAGATTTTCCCCTCTAAGCTTAAACAAAACAGATGAAAGCCAACTGCCTTACAATTTTCCTGCTGGCTTCCTCCATCACCCCCTCACACATCACCCTGATTACTGATGTATTCAAATCATGAAATGAAAAGCATGCTATAAAAATGCGTGAATGGTGAATAACCCCAACCCTCGCCCTCCTCACTCAGATCTCGACATAAGTGTGAGACAGCATGGTTTTTGTGCACTGTGCTTCAAGCACTTTTGCCGCTCACAGAGATTAAGGACCTCTCCCACGTGCAGTCAGGGTCTCCTGCTGAAACACCTCATCTGCATGGACTCACCACGCTTTGTATTTTCACCTTTTTTTTGGCCTCCCTCCTAATTTTGGCTATCTAATGTGTTACTCCTCCTAGGTAACAGAATGCCCAAAGCCAATGAATATACACACATCTGTCAATAATTTTGAGAGAAATTAATGGTAAGAATTTCAGTGGCTGCAAGTATTTGAAGGCTCCTTAAATTAAAATTTCAGACTTAGCATTCATCCTCCTCCCTAGTGGACAATCCCTCAATTTAGCACCTCTCTCCACCAACAAACAAATCCAGTGGCCTCACCTACTATGTTAGTAAAATAACCCAGTATTTTTGGTGCTCAGAACATCATCAATACAAAAAAAAAAAAAAGAGGTCCAGAATAAAAACCAGTAATAAACACAGTGTTTAAACATAAAACTTTCCAAAATTATGCATGCTATAGAAATGCCTTGGTTCTTAAAAATTATATGAAAGTAATCCCATTAGATTATGCATTGCTGAAATAATATAACAACTCAATGGTGATGCAGTATGCACGTAAGTTCTGCACTGACTATTTTCTAATAATTATGAAGCATACTAACATTTGCATTTGAATTGTGTTCTACCTAAAATTTTGTTGGTTGTTTTCAAAGCCACCCTAGTGATAAGACAAATGGATTTATAAATTCTTCTTGTTGTATAAATTTCTTATACTGTATATATAACAATCTTTTCTGGTTCAATAAAAATGTCAAGCCATTACTGTAAGGGCTAAACTAGTGATTTATTATTATAAGAAGCACAATGTTGCCCCAGTTGGTGGCTCAGTTGGTTGGAGCATCATCCTGTGCACCAGAAAGTCACAGATTGGATTCCTGGTCAGGGCACATACCTGGATTACTGGTTCAACCCCTAATTTAGGAGCATTCAGGAGGCGATCAATAGATGTGTCTCTCTCAAATCAATCTCTCTCTCTTTCTCTCTCTCCCCCCCCCCTTCCTCCCACTGTAAAAAATAAATAAAAGGACACATCTCACCCACTTTGGACCTAATGCTCCTGCTACTTCATCTGCTCTGATTTCTGGATGATTTGTATTCTGAGTTACTACCTTATGTGGCTAAGCCTCCAGGATCCAGGTATATTTGTTGCTGAAACTCCTATCCAGTCTTCACATCCCCACAAGTGGTACCCAGACACCTATCACTGATTCCTGCATTGTTTGGTTCTATCCTTGGTGCCATCCTTGTTATGGCTTCTTGGAAACTTCTCCAGGAATCGTTAGAATTAAAACTCAACCTCCCTTGGTCTTTCCACACTGTAGACATTCCACTGGCAGCGATTCCACCTGCTGACCCTGCCCCAATCCAGGAGAGGCTGCTCTGCAGAGCCCATCTGTCCCTCTCTCCAGTCTGTCCCAGGCTGCCAACGTGGAACCTTCATTCCCAATTATATTAGTGTCTTCATTTTCTCGTCTTCAAATGAGAGGTCTGAATAAGTTACTCAGTCATCACTATTAATAATTTAGCACAGGAGTCAACAAACTTATTCTGTAAAGAAATAGATAATATGTACTTTTAGGCTTTGCGGGCCATCCGATTTGTGTCCCAGCTACTCAACTCTGAGGCCACAGACAATGCATGAAAGAATGAGAATGGCTGTGCTTCAGTTCCTTCCTTCCTTCCTTCCTTCCTTCCTTCCTTCCTTCCTTCCTTCCTTCCTTCCTTCCTTCCTTCCTTCCACAGGTGGTGGACTGGATTTGGCTGACAAGCTCTAGTTTGCCAACCCTGAGTCACATCCTTCATTGTTGCCCTTCACTTCTGCTACCAGAACTGTACTGGGTAAAAGGAACCTGAAGAACCCTGCTTTCTGTCCTGTCTGTAGGAAAGTCCTAAAACCATGGAGGTGGTACAGGAAATCTTAGCCCATTGTCAGTTTAAAGGCTCCTTGTCAGTGTGGCTTTCACACTATCTTAAGAATATACTCAGAAAATTATTTTTTCTTTTCTACCAAGCAGTTGGCTCTATTTTCCACATGGAACAGCGGCAGCAACTGTTCTATTCTTAGTCTAAACCAACGTGTGCAGTGTAGGAGATTAATGAGAGGAATATTTTAAAGAAAAATGGGGGGGAAATAGTGTGACCACAATATTTCTGCCTCTTAAAATAGGGCAGGTAAATCTATTCTAATTATGACTAGCACCTTAAGAAAATTGCCTCTTTAAAGATAAATAAACTCAACCCCAATAAAAAAAGATTACATTCTTATGTAAGTCCCAGTATAACACCTCTACTAAGTTGAACTCACACAAATTTAGCTGCTGGCTGAGCATTTTTACACATTTAGTCCACAGTTAAGAAATTTAGCCTATCTAAAAATTTTACTCCCCCAAAGCAATCTAGAAATTCAGCGCAATCCCTACCTGTATTAGTTTTCTGGGGCTCTCATAACA